TTTTGAAACGTCAGAATATGGTGGAGCTTGATGGTACATAACCAGGTCTGTGAAATGTCTATATAACCACAAATATGCTACATTTGATAAGATTCATCTGGGAGAATAATAAGGATCTCAGAAACTCCTGCTTTGCCCATAAAGTTTATGCCAACATGGTCCAAAAAATAGTTCCCCAGATGACTCATTTTTAAATCCCCTAGTTTTTATACATATATATATATGTACATGCATAGATAAGTTTTCGAAAGGATTCATGATTCCTCTTGGAGAGAATGGATTAGACACATTTGTGTGGCGGTGGATATCACTTTATATTCCTGTACTATTTTTTAATGGGTACCTATTCACGTATTTCTCGTGTAATTTTCAAAACTTTAAAATACAAATGAAAGAAAAATTTACTTCTGGCTAACACATTGATCATCCATGGAAAGAATGCCGGTCTAGGAGTTGGGTGACCAACCTGCTAAAACCTAGCTGTGTCATTTAACCTGAAGGTTCTCTGTTTACTGATTTGTAAAATGAGGTGGTTGGATTAAGATAATTTCTTTGATTTTATGATCCTTCTGGGTAAACGGGGAGGCCAATCTGAATTAGATGAAGTATTACTTTCTAACATTAAGATAAACTGAGTATTTCCAAGTTATCCTTGCCATTTTGTTTAAGACTACTGGAGCCTCCTTTATAAACTAGAAGAACCCTAACAGTACTGTGATGTTCGGGTTGCTTTTTTGGTTGGGTTGCTTGAGACCCCTTTGGAGTCTCAAGCCTTACAATGTACTAAGCCCAGCAAGCATGTTTAGAGCTAAATTGGTTTGATGTGTTTTTTATCATTTTATCACAAAGTTCCTGAAATCAATTCCATGCTAATTCTATGCTATGTTTCATTTTTAAGCTATGTTTTAAAAAATTTTAATCTCTCTTGTTGAATGCACAGCTGGAGTTGGGGTAACTTTTTGCTCTCTTTGAGAGGGGGGTAAGATAAAAAGCTGCTCTTCGAGGCCTACCAGTTCTAAGGCACAACAGAAAGACCACATAAAGCAATTAGCTCATATTCTAAAACTGCAACTATAGAAACCTGTTAGAGACCTTTGAAATTCCCATTTCAAGGACATATTCTATCTTCTGAGGCTTAGCTGTGAGAAGAACTGTTAAATCTTTCGGGAGTACCTGGATTCACTTATGTTCTGATCATGCTGGTGTCCTGTGCGGGAGAGGGAAGTCTAGACATATGGCCTTATTTACTACTCAGGAATGAGACTGAGTTTTCTGCCTGGGAACTTGGGGAGGGGTGGAGGGGGAAGAGGGCTGTGGCAGAAAGTCAGTTCAAGGAAACACAGGGTCTGAGGTATGGAGCTGTGGTCAGATTCATCCACGGATTCATCCTTATTACCAGGCAATAAGGATGAGTCAGAGCCTCAGAAAACCCTAAAGTGAAAAAAGTAGCTGGTTGGTGTTTCAGTCCTGACCAAGAGCAAATTTAAACCAGAAAGATTTAGGGCTATGTAACTGCCTCTATCACTCTCATCCTCCAGCTAGAGGTGACACCCTCAAGGGTCTCCAAAAGGCTTTGGTATTCATTCCTAGAATCCTCCCCTAAGTTTGAGGTTCCATCTGAGCCAAGAGGACACCTGAGAGGAAACGAGTGCTCGGTACAGCCAAGAGGGCATCTACTTAGTGAGCAGACAACTCACTTCTACAGAGCACAAAGTACCCCAATGGATGCTGTTAACACAGCACCCAAAAGCCCACTGCGAAGTTGTTCTATGATGGCCTAACACTTTCCCTCTGAGTATTGCTTGTATCTCCTAACAGACTAGCAAACCGTCTGACAATACAGAAATAAACTTTATTTTGTCCCCTTCTGTATGACTGTAATTCAAATTAAAGCGGACTTGTATTTTTTCCCCTATATTTACAAAATAGGCCTTATCAAATGTTCTCATAGTTTTCTATATTTCTTTTTTAATATGACATTTTCTTCATATCATAGCTTTTGCACTTGCTTGATTATATGGTATAATCATATTAATTCCTGTACTTATTTCAGGGACAAATGAGAAACTGAATGAGATTTTTAACATTAAAGAAAATTTGCTATGTTTTTAATTCAATCTTGAGCTTAAAAATGAAGCTTGTACTTGTGTAAACAGTAAGATGAATGCCTACATTTTATTAAAAATAATAGTAAAAAAAATCTAATTAGAAGATAAGTAGATGGGGATTTCATCTCTTCAATTTAAAATGCCTTAGCTTGGATCCCTTATTAGAAGGGCTTCACAAAAACAAGTTGTAAACATCCTCAATAATTAAACATGAATATATGATCTATGAATAAACTTGGCCCTTAGGCCATATATACTTAAATATATAAAATTACATTTGTACTTGATTCTTGTTATTAGCTCCATCCTCCAGTGAAATGCATTTGTGTGTGCAATTGTCTTATTCCTGTAACTCCGCCACAGATATTAAAAAATGCTTCTTCCCATAAACTGTGAAGGATTAATTGATAGGCCACAGGGAACTTACACTACAACGTCCTTACCAATTAATAATGCTGATGACTTGGTTTATGAGGATTGAATTATTCATCAGAATCTTTTTTACATTATGTCATTGCAAGCTAAGAGAAGTCAGGGCACCTATAGGATAGTGATGAAGAGATAGAATTTTACTTACAACCAATCACCTCAATTTAATCCCTGTCCTTCCCATACTCAATAATGGGAGCTTTAATCTTAAGCCCCATCATTTTTGAACATGAGGGTATTCATGAACACCCAGAATGGTCTAAATTAAGCTGCAATTCTGTGAGGTAGGGGGAAAAAACCGGATTGGGAGTCAGAAAACGGGGTCTTTCTTCTACTTTTGCCACTAACTAGGATTGTGACCTTTGGCAAGGTACTTTACCTCTCAGGGACTGTTTCTATTAATTACAAAATGATGGCTTGGATTAGTGAAAGGTTAAGATTTCTTTCAGCTATAAAATTTCATTAGGATTCTATAACATTTGTTTAGAAAGTGCAAAGATGACAGCTGGTCTATTTGGAAGCATGCTAGAAATAAAAACAAAAGAAAATATCATTTGCAATATTCAGGTAAGTGATGTGTAATCCTCCCCCCACCCCCAGGCCTTTTGGGTTTGGAATATGAAATTTTGATCACTTAAAATAGGTGCAGTTTGTGACTAGAACCATTATCTGCTGGAGGGGTAGGCAGACACAAATGAAATACAGGGAACTCACCTCCTCTCATGTATTCTAAAAACAAGAATTGGTGCCTGGCACAATGCAAGAATTTTTAATCACTATCCATTTGGGATGTTTTCAACTAATCAGTCATTTAGGTAATACTTTTAAAGTGTTATTCTCTACTTTGTGTTAAAAGTGGAATTAAGCCAGGCACAGTGTTGTGCACCTGTAGTCCCAGTTGCTTGGGAGGTTCAGGGGAGAGGACTGCATGAACCCAGGAGTTGGAGGTCCAGACTGGGCAACACAGCAAGATGCTGTCTCTTAAAAAAAAGTTGCATTAGCTATGATTAAAATGTTCTAATCAGCAGTCTTATAGTAGAATTTTATACAGCAATATCCTCAAACACAACAGTTCTGACTAAAATCAAATACTTTATAATTCTTCCCTCTCTTTTCTATCTTCTCTCTAAACAGAAAGGGGTGGTGGTTATTTTAGCATCTGGGTCATGGTCTAATATCCTTAGTGGCTAGTTTCCGATCACCTTCCAGAATTCTGCCTTCCATTTCCCTTTTATTTAAGAAGAATGACAGAGTTAACTGGAACTAAGCCTGGCTTTCATGGGTTTTCTTTAGCATGTTCCTTAGTTCCTCCAGTTCTTGCTGCTAAGTGAGCAGGGTGGTTAGAAAAGGAGATGACTTGAAGATGACTGAAGACAGATATTACACTTGAGGGGTTTCTTACTTCCCTGGTTTCACAATCGAGGGTCTTAGCAGACACAGGCAGTACTGGAATCCTCCTCTAGGACGGAGGTGAGTGAACGCATAGCCTTGCACCTACTAAGTGGGCGCGCGAGGCACCTGGGAGTCCGAGTGTCGGTGTGTGACGGCGCGCACACGCGTGGGGATGATTGGACTGGTGCTGGCCAGCTCTCCTTAACCATACTTTACCCCCTTGGCCAACTGCAGCTGGCTTGCACTCTGTCTAGAAAAAGACAAATTAAATACATATTTAGCTGACAATGAAGATACAATTTCAAGTAAGGAAAAAAGGAGAGAGGGCTGGTGGAAGCCGAGAATGATAAAGGTAAAGTATTATAATATTCTTGACTTTCTCGGAAAATGTTTGGTTTTTCTGTGTGAAGGAAATTACATAAATGTGAATAGTGGTGATGTCATACTCCCTCTGCAGCATATCCTATGTCATAGTGAAGTATCTGTCTGAGAGCTGACCAATGAGTAACTGTTATAATATTTTTTAAAAAGCTATCATCTGTAGAAAGAAAACAGGTACTGGCAAAATGCTGCCCCCTCAAATATGTTGACTCCACATAGAATTGATCATTTTACAACCTAAACTGAAATACAAGGATGTAATTTAGAAATCACTCAACAGATTTGAAGGTTTCAATATTACAAAGTTACAAATTGTTATTTTCAAACAAAGGTCATTTAATACAATCTAACCCTGGTAAATAATAGCTGGCTCTAGACTTTACATCTCACGCCACCATACGTAGGCAGAAGACACTGTATGTTCTGTGCGATTTGTCATTTTACTTTTAACAAAGTGCTAAATTCTAATGAAATTACACTTTTCATACAATATTTAATGTAACTATATTAAACATTTAGTCACCCTTAATATAATTATTTAAGGGCCTAGTAGATGAAATTGTATTTCATAGAAACAAGGATAAGTTGGGATGGAGACACAGTGCCTGTGCTCGGCAGTCACTGGAAAGCACTCGATCACCATAAGAAAGATGGCCAAAGGCTTCTGACCTGATTGAAAATAAGGAGTCGTATAAGAAATGGCTTTATTAGAAAAAAATGTAGTGTACACGTGGCTGATTTCTATCGTCAATATACCTCTTGGCTATTTTATAATTAAAATCCGATACAGGGTTTGAACTTCTTTAGAAGTTAGTGGCATTTATTCCTATTCTGGTATGTGACTTAGGGCAGGGGTTATCTTCTTGTGATAGACACCCTTTTTTTCTTCTCATAATTACAAGTAATCAGTAGTTTAGCACTGGCACAAAACATAGAGGGCATTACTTAGGTAGTGCTTTATGTGTAAGACGTCATACTTCCAACCCCAGAATCAGGCACAGATACGCCACTTGTAGAGTTTTAAAATCCCCTATCACCACTCAAGTCCCCCATTATTATTACCTAGTAGTAATTAAATTAATGTGGTAATCTGTAACCTAACAAAACCTCTGAATGAAGTTTCTTTCTTCTCCTTTTATTCCTGTTAGATGTGCAACTCCAAGCAAATGTGCAGTATTGATTTCCAGCCTCCTTTTAAACTCCTTCAAGTCTGTGCTATTAAACTGAGACAACCACATCAAGATAGAGTCTGTCATAGGATTCCCTGAAGCACAGAATGAGGAGGAGACTGAGCAAACACGACCCGGGAAGGCACCAGTTGAACCAAGACAACTCTGCAAGACAAAAACATGCAGTTTTAAACATTCATGTATCACCAGCAGACCACCACCTGTATGCCAGAAGGAATCTGCCCTGCATACAAGAGCACTTATAACAAATGCGCCCTGCAAGGCTTAGAAACTGGCTTTCGATAAACAGCAACAATCTGGAAACTAAGTGATGTGTGTAATATATTACAGGGCTTCCACGTGGAATATTTTTAATCAATATAGTTAATGACTTTTCATCAATTTAATCCACCTTGACTTTGGCTGCAAAATAAATCTATTATTTCAAAGAAAAAAATCGATCACCTTTAAATGTTAGTTTGTTAATTATTTTTTAAGTGTCCTCTATCACCATCACTCTCATCCCTGTTTAGAAATATCTAATAGATTAAAAAGACAAATAAGAAAATCACCTGAATTTTGAGATAACACTTTTATACATTTTGGATAGAAATATCTATTTCTTAGCAAAAACATTAAGTAGAAATCATTGTAAAACACATTAGAAAATACATAGAAAAATAAAACATTAAAAAAATCAATCACACTTTCACCCTCTGAGAGACTACTTGAATACTTCGGCTTATTTCTTTCTAGTCTTTTTCTCCACTAGCATGAATAGTTATATATGACACCAGTTATTGGAAAACCTATAGAAATCATCTAAACAGGCAATTCTGTTGTTATTTGAATTAATGTATTAAGAATACACTTCTTCAAAAATGTTCTCATGAATTCAGGACTCTCCAACAGGACAATCCTGGGCCACTTGCTACCAACACACACCGTCCAACTGTGGCTGCTCCCTCAAGCTTCAGGGACCCTCGAGCTGTGCATCTGCTCAGCCGTCCTCTACCCCAATCCTGTCTTCCAGTCAACCCGCAGGCTTTGAAGTGAATAGCTCCTTCCTTGGCATAAAGAGGTTGGTGGAGGTGGCAGACAACTTCTCTAGTTTAATATCCATTTAGTGGTTTCAATAAAAAAAACAAACAAACAAAAGAAGGAAACAAGTTCCCTGGTGCCTCTTTTTCCTTGTCACTACTACAGGTTTATAAGTTTCCCTTTGCATGTCTACAAAATGCTAATACTGTCTTAATCTTCAAAAGTCATCCTAAAGATTTTCACATTGCTGCTTTAGTTTAATCCATAATTCATATGGCTAAAAGAGCAATTTATGCTCAGAAATGGAAATCAGAAAACCAACCAGGAAGAAAAGGTCCTGCAATACCTTTTCTCTGTAATATGGTCACAAAAGCAGCCTGCCCACCCCTCAATTACTACAGCTTACAAGTCAGACATGCTATTCTATAGCATGTAACAAAGACATACATTTCAATGATATTTTTATGCAAAGCTGTTTTCTGTGCTTTACTTGGATTGAAGCTGTGACCTCTGGGATCTTGTCTTTATTGATATTCCTTGAAATGACACACTAGGCATTTTCTGCTTTTATATTAACCACATAACTCCTGGATTTCTGATGATAATTTTAATAGGCAAAAAGAAGCAGTAAAAAAAATAAGAAAAAAAGCAGTAAAATACTGACAACAGTATACTGTTTGTATTTAAAAAGAGCACTTTGACTTTAAGGCCAAATTTGAAGCAAGAGATAAAAGAAAGTAGTATGGTACTTGACAACATGGTTTATAACAATGACATTTTCTAAATCTTAGAGACTGTTTTATGGGGAGCTAGAGCAACCCACATGTAGCAGTAATCAACTTGTCCTTGCTCTCCTTAAACTGAGAAATTTGTGAAATATTGCCAAAACAGACCTTTTATTTCAAAGTCATCATTAGAGTTGTAAAATTATTCCTTCTACCTGGGTTCTGATGAAATCTCTAAAAATGCCCCATAATTGCTCTTCAGTGTCACAATTTGTTGATTAGTTTTTACTGCATGCCTCTCTCTGAAAAGTCAAGTCCACTCTCAGTAAATTCACATGGCTCAATCGACGGCACGTGTTCTTTGAAATTATTTGCCTCTTCAGAAAGCAAAAGTTCACAGACAGGGAAACCTCTACATTTTCTGGCTGAAACCATTCACATAAAACATAGCTTAGGTGCTCTAATAAGCAGGAAATGGCTTGCTTAAAAATCCAAATTGACTTAGCAGTGGCAAAGTCAACAGCTGTCCTTTCTGAGCCTGATGTCACATGACACAGGTGAAAAGAATCACGATCCAGTGCAATTTTCGTATTCTTATCCTTTGTCTCTCTTAAAGGGAGCACAGTTTTCTAACATTCCTTCCCTTTGCCTTTCACTGGAGGAAGTATCAATCCACACTTGAAGGCAGGGCTCCACAGTCCAGCCCACACTTCTGCTGTTCTCTACTGTCTACTGCACAGCAGTGGGAGTACTCTCTTGGCCAATTTACGGTTTAGACAGGGGCTCTGTTTCACTCAATGAAGTGGGCTCTGCACCAAATGGTGATGCTCTGTTGGGATCAAACAGATGGGGATGTTGCTTATCATCTTATCTTTTTCCTCCAGAAGCACTGTTACACTTTTCACCTCATCTTTCCCTTCAATGACACCACACTTGCAGTTTCTATCACCTACAAGTACTTGTCTGTTTCCAGCTAGCACTCCCCAGAACCAACTTTCCACTTTCTCCTATGGTAATTTAACAAGATCATCTCCATTCTCAGTCAAGGAGAGGAGATGGCTGACACCACGATTCTCCAGGTTGATGCCCTGCTCCCTTCATTCCACATTAAATTACCCAGTAGATCTTACCATCATTCTATTGTTTTACTTCTTAGACATAAAATTATTCTTCACTAGTCCACACTGAACCTGCTCTTTGTTCTCCTAGTAACCATTAGTCAATACCTCTCACCTCAGAAAGGCCCCTGCCACCCTCCTCCCTTTTTTTTAAGAGACAGGGCCTCGCTCTGTTGCCCAGGCTGGAGTGCAGTGGCACAATCATGGCTCACTGCAGCCTTGAACTGCTGGGCTCAAGTGATCCTCCTGCCTCAGCCTCCCGAGTAGCTGGGACTATCAGGGTACATGCCAACATGCCTGGCTATTTAAAAAATTTTTTTGTAGAGACAGGGTCTCACTATGTTGCCCAGGCTGGTCCTGAACTTCTAGATTCAAGTGATTCTCCTGCCTTGGCCTCCTAAAGTGCTAGGATCATGGGCGTGAGCTACCATGCCTGGCCCCCTGAATCTTTTGAGCACCAATGCAGTCTCAAATTCATGGTCAGCCGCTTTGAAATGAAAGGACTGAGGTATAAATCATGCTTTTAGCCAAAACCTGCTGCAAAGCTCTAGAACAAAAAATAACAGATAATATAAACTTCAGAATATAAAATACGTTACAGAGCACATAAAGGATATAACAGCATGCTCAAATTGATTTTTTATGAAGTTATTAGCATAAAGCATCACTGTGCTACCTTAACTCGCTGAGATTCTCAAAGCAAACATAGGAAGCAATTCAGATTTATAAATACGTTTATATCAAGGAACAAGTAACAACTTTTCTTTTGGAAGTAACCTTGAAAAATCCAAGTCAGAAAAACCTGGAGACACTTCTGACACGGCGCCAGGTAATCAAAGCAGAATTAAAACAGGGTGTGGAGCCCCGGTGACCTAGGGCTCCAAATAAGCCAGTGATGTTGGTTATAGGATCCTGAATGACATTCACCCTTGATGACAGCAATGGCCCTAATACGCAAGCAAATGACCAGTGGAAACTATCTTGCTAGGCAAGGCATTCTAATGTGGTCATTTTGGGGTTAGTCTGTATAGCCTTGAAAAATTATCTGATATAGTCACCTATCAGATAGCATATTGGGGAGGGTGGGGAACCTCAGTTAGCAAATTTAGTACTTCCTTGAGAAGTGACTTAACAAACCACAGATCTTTATGATGATTAAAAATCAGGACTTCTTATCATGTAACTAATAGTTGAATTTTGACATATAACTAACTGCTCGGTGAGTTTTTAAAATTACTGAATTATGACATTTGAACACTTTAATGAAAGATAATTCAATTTATCATTTAAAATGTTTAGGGTGCTAGGCTGCAGAACTAAAAGTTATTTTTAGGAAACAGCTTTACAGAATTTTCAGATTTGCAATTTATGTGTTATCATATCTCAGTCCATAAAGAATGCAGATCTCTGCTGTAGGACTTTTAGGGCAAAATCAATTAATCATATGTGAAAAGAATTTCAACACAGATTTCACAGTTCTAGTAACTTTCGTCTTAGAGAGATGTGGTGTATGTTTGTGTGTATTCACTATACACACTCACAAATCGACATATAAAAGTATTTCCTTAAAAATAGAATCCTAGATACTTAAATTCATAATATCAAGAAGCTAATTATCTAGAAGAAAACAAACATTTGGTGAGTGCCAGCTATGCCCTGGACTAGGCTCTTCCATATATATCTTCTCATGAACTGTCTAAAATGCCAAAATTTTATGAGACTTTTTTCCTAAAAATCATCTCGGTGGATTAAGATTAATTATTAGCTAAAGTTTCATTTTTTTTTCACAACAGTCACAGAGTTTAGGTGGAAACTTTAACATATATACAGACATGTATATGAACATATGATCAGAAACCAACCAAAAAGAGGGAAGCTTTTTTCCCCCAGCTAGATAAATACTTGATTACATCAGTGAGATAAAAATTGGCAGAAATGGTGCTAAGTGCTTCCGCTGCCTATGCCAAAGAAATAAAAGTATCTGCTTCTATCTGGTCACTATGAATTTGCAAAATGAGTGCGCACTGACTCATGGCAGTTCCAGTTAATTCATCCCAGACACCAATCTCTGTTGAACAAATCAAAACTGCAGCCAGACCTAGGAGAATGACAGATACTCTACTGGCCAAGCAAACTGAGGCTGAGCTCTTCTATGGAAAGATAGTTTAGGGTAGTTAACTGTTACTCGTATCTTCCCTGCCTTAAACAGATCAATAAATACGTGTTTGTTATACACTAGAGACCACAAGTAAGACATTTATTGAGGGATAACATTATCTGGAATCTACTGTTGTTTTTAAATACTGGGAGGACAAAACCCTATTTCCAGTTGAAAGGAAAAACCACACTCTGCTAGGCTGCACTGACTGACCCCTTTGCAATTTATGCCCATCAACTGGGAAACTGTTCCTGTCATCCCAGAGGACAACACAGCCATCTTTGGTGTTTTACCAGGAAAAGAGAGGCAACAGGCTACTAAGTTTCAATTGTGACACAACTGAAGTGAATTAAAGCTGATATGTAATAATTGTAGGACAATTCTGTTTATAAACTAATTCCAAAGCAAAGACCTTTCTCTAACACTTGGTGATGGTGCTTTTCCCTAATAGAAATGTGTTTTCAGAAGGACAGTAAGCAGGACTCTACTGATTTCAATAATATCACTTTCCCATATGATAAACCAAACTTGGATCAGGTTTAGCACAGTTAAAACCTACTCTACCTGCACTTCTGATTGATAGAAACAATCTAGTTTATTGTCAATGATATTAAGAAATTCATCTATCATTGGGACACTTTTTGCTGTTAGGTGAAAGTGCTCTGCCAGAAGCTGTCCATAAACCCAGGGGTGATTGTGTTTCACTGGCTTTGAAAGTTTTGAAAAATTTTTTTCCAGTTAAGGAAGTTAGCATGGTTATTATTTCAATTATAAGCCTGTCCGAAAGATTCCTATAAATAATCTGGCCTCTTGGAGTGTCACATTTTAGAGCATTTCCTACACTGGGTGACTTCTTCTCATTCACCCCTTAGGTTTTAAACTCCATATTTACCTCTGACATTAATTTGCACCCTGTGTTAAGATAGTAGATTCTAAGCAGTTTTTAAAAAGCAATAGACCAGTGGTTCTCAATGAGAATCTGCACAGTAGAATCACCTGGTGAGGTGAAGTTGGGGGAGGGAAGATTTAAAAAATACAAATGCTGGGCCCCAGCCCAGGTTAATTAATTCAGAAACTCTAGGGTGTTGGGTGAGGGTACACTCGGGCTAGAATGCATTTCAAGAAAAACAGTTGAGGATATTTTCCTTTATTGGCAGTGAAAGAGCACATAATTTGCCTTAGTATGAATTCTCCATATAGATTTCCTATATGTCAGTGCCACAAACTTCTCTCATAACACTTTTAGATAGTAAATAAAAAAATCAAATTTCTTACCTGTATGATAAAACGTGAGAAAAAATAAAAGTACTCCCATGAACATATTACTTAAAAAAGTGACAACTCCACAAGTAATTCCTTCTGGAACTGGGTAGACAGTTTCCACAAAAAGCTCAAAAAATATAGGTACGCTGCTATTCAAGAACACTCCCAGGAGAATACAGGAGGCGTACAATGTCACTATAATAAAAACATAAACATTTAGTTTCACAGTAGCAGCAGTGAGTCATATCAGATAGATCTGTTCTCTTTCCTAAGTATTGACTCCGTCATTTCATGACAAAGCATCACACATCTGTCAGTTCTCTGCTCAGGTTTTCTGAAATAGATACCAAAAGATTTCATTGCTGGATGACGACCAGTTTATTTGTGTTACCTTTCTGGTGGATTATTCCAAAGCACAAAAACAATTTATCATTATAATATCATTAAAATGATTCTTCCCCTATTTGGTCACACTCCCAGCAAATGGAGGGATAAATAAAACATAGCAACTTAATTCGAAATCTAGACTTATTCTAGAATTTTAAAGAGAATTTAAAATCTAAGAATAAAACATTAAATGTTACTGAAAATTACACATTTAAAGAGATCGGTTAATAACTGCTTTCAAGCACAAAACAGACATTATTCAGTGTGAAACTCCTGGAGAAGCACTTACAATAGAATAAGTCCTCAACTTTGGAATGAGTTTTGTGTCAATGATTTAAAAAAAAGTAACATTTTTGGAACACCAAAAAAAATTTTACCCAGAAATGTATAAAATAGTGGTTAGGATCCCAGATTAACCCATAAAAAACCTATTAACACTATTATGTCTCAAAATCTGCTGAATAAGGATGTTATTCTTACAAGAATGTTTAGGGAAATATACTTCACTCCAAATAATTTTATCACTACTACTACCATCTGCCTACAAAACTTCAATAATTTTGAGGCTGAAAACAGAACCAATGAGAAAAAAATGATACCCTATTTAGAAACCTAAAACATGTTCTTACATCCTAGGAAGTATATCATATCCACTGATAATAATGAGAATTTATTCTAAGTTTAAAGTTACAGGGAAAGTATTTTTAATAAAAACGTTTAAGAAAAAAAATTCTGTACAGGAACTGCAGAAAGCAAGAGTTACGCTAAATCTGTTATGTATTATTCATGCATTCATAGAACATACCAAATTACCTGAATTTACCATAACTGACTGCAATCATTAACAGTCCATGATATTGTCGAAGGGGTAAAAAAATAATAGTATCCACTGATTTCTAACAGAATTTCTCTAATTAACCTCCACTCCCACTTTTCCCTTCAATTACACTAGCCTCTCAGGATTATAAAATATTTAGTATATTCTAATAATGAAACAGCTGGTAATTACTTTGACTTTTTCTTTGACTAAAACACAGATAATGTAAAAAAAGAGCAAAAGAATTAGTGAATAAAGAACACACTGCTGGGCCGGGCGCGGTGGCTCATGCCTGTAATCCTAGCACTCTGGGAGGCCGAGG